CGCCTCATTCATTGCCCCACCGCCTCATCATCCCCTCCCTCCTCGGCTACCACCCGACCTCCACCCCCCGCGACCCCACCGCGTACAACTCCAAGTCCATGTCCGACGACCTCGCCGAGCTTCTCACGGCCGAAGACGCCCCCACCGCCATCGCCATCGGCCACGACTGGGGCTCCTTCCTAGCCAACCGCCTCTACCTCTGGCACCCGGAGCGCGTCGCGGGCTTGGCCCTGCTGAACTTCGCGTACATGCCGCCCAACCAGACGACGCCCTTCGATCTGGACCAAATGAACGCGCTCATGGAACAGCTGTTCGGGCACCCGATCTTGGCGTACTGGGAGTTGCTGACGCGGGCGACGGGGGACGTGCCCGCGCTGCTGGAGGGGAATGCGGCACGGCTCTGGGAGCTGCTGCATGCGGCGCGGCCACAGCCGGAGTGGATGCGGAAGCTCCTGTGTGAGCGGGGGGCGACGGAGGCGTTTTTGACGGCCGGCACTGTCGACGGGGAGGCAGTGGCGGGGGACATCAAGCTGAGGGACTATGCTGGGCATGACGGTGTGTATTGGGAGGACTTCGTTAGGAGGCTGACGGATAAGGAGGCGGGAGGCATTGCGCCGGCGCTCTGTTGGTATCGAGCCATGTCGGAGAATGCGACGTTCGAGGTAGAAAGGACGCTGGAAAAGGAGGCGTTGGTGCTGAAGGTGCCGACGTTGTTCGTGGCGTGTCCTGATGACGCGGTGTGTCGGGCGGAGTTGATAGAGGCGCCGAAACAGGAGGGCTTGCTGCCGGATCTGACTGTGGTGGAGGTCGGCGGGTGTGGGCATTGGGGGATTATCTATGAGAAGGCGGAGGAGACGGCAGGAGTTATTGGAGGGTTTTTGAAGGAGAGGTTTGGATCTAAGTAGGGAAGGATAATTCGTAGTTGCAGAACGAGCAACCTGTCGGGGAGAAGTCATGCCCGCAACACTTTGATTCTGCCTATCACTGGTCCCTGTTGCCAGGTTGGGGTTCCTAGCGCCGTGGCTTAACATGAGCCCATTATTCAATCATTGCATGGAAACTGGTGTGATAGCACGGACTTCCTGTGGGTACCGGGTGGGGAGATTGCTTGAGGTGCCTCCCGGAAAGGTACATCATTGTTCCATTTTTTTGGTCTTTTTTCCCTCTTTATATTTATCTCCAGATAAAAATGGCAGCCCGGGGCTACAAAGGGTATGAGAACAGATCTTATATACCGCTTTGCGTCTCACCAACATTCGCCTAACGTAAGGTTGTCTGATGCTACAACCATTTTATCCATGGCTTGCTCTCCTTCTGAACGATAACAGACGTGAGGTGAGGATTTCCAATTAATGTACCACAATGAAATGAAGAGTGAGCTGATAGGCCTGCGTTATTTGGTCCCGTTTCCGTTGTTGGACCAGGTTCTGTCTCAATTGTAGACTGTTGTTGACGTTGATAAGTTAACTGGGCTTACATGGCGGTGGGGGGAGGTAATATTCCTTTGACCAGCAACGTCCTGGACATTATCGATGCATGATTTCTGACGGTTTGAGTGAAAATTGTTGGTCTCGCAATGCATTTCTGATTTGGATGCCCAGAATCATGACCAGACCTACCAATATAAGTGTTGGCCACAATCTGAAATTCGAGATTTGCTCAAAGCGCAGTGTCGGCGTTCCAACCACGAGCCACATGTCAGTCCGCCATATGAACCCTTCTACCTGAAAAGTATCGCTTGTCTGTGCAGAATTATCCTGGGGTCTCAGAAACTTAGCTTGTGACTTTCCGGCAAGATGGCCGAATTTCGAACTCATCCTGTGAGTAAGATATCAGACATGCCCAAGAGTTGTCAATGCAGTGGTCGATAAGGATTAGATGTAATTCCCGCCTTGGAACCATTGACAAGTCTCCTTTTGTAGGTTGCTTTCCTCGATTGTCATGCACTCAGCCAGTAATCCAATGGGTTGAAAACTGTCTGTCTCGTGTGATTAGGAACCGCAAACAACCAGCTGATTAAATGCTGTATCCATTTATTTCCGACAAATCAGTGGTTGTCAAATTCGGAATATTCAATTCTCCCACTATCCACTATCCTACTCTTCAAATTCGAGGGGGTGACACTCGAATTAATACCCTACCCTCCAGATCTCTGCCTCGGTTCCAATTACATATAAACATACCGATTATCTTCTCACTGGTTCTGAAGCGGTTTGCATTTCGTCCATCAGTTGTGAACAATCAAATTCTTATGAATTGAATTGTTTTTTCAGTTTAGGATTCGCAAGAAGCTCCAGCTTGAAGTTGCAACTACCACTTCAATTCTTTTTCTTTTTCTTTTTCTTTTTCTTTTTTTCTTTTGGCTTCTCCTATGACTTTTTGGAGCAACCAACGTCCGACCTGCTGTAGATGATGTTATTAGTTCTATCCATTAACCTATTGGTCAGTGCTGATGCGAGGCGAAGCAAGCGCCTACTGCTCAATAGACATACTACAAATGTTCTCTGAATGTATAAATCAAGTGGCTAAGAGATCGATGTCAGGAACTTAGCTGATTCGTGCTCCTCGTAAGCTTTGCGGAAACAATCCCTCCCTTCGTTCTGCGGTTACGGGAGTTTTATCAATTTTCGACTGCCTAACAGTCATCGTGATTCTGGCAGATTTCATTTGCACATGTGGGAAATCGACCCTATTTGCTGCTTCGTTGTTGCGCTGTTCCCGTGTTCCTGTAAGACGACCCACTGGCACCAGAGTTTGTCATTTTTGAGAGGGGTGCAGCGTTAATGTAGAAAGATAAAATATTCATATCATACAAGTAGTTGCGGGAACAAACGGGGTGAGAAAATACGGAATGCCATGTGGAGCTTCACCTTCTTGTATCGTCTCCGCTTTTCAGGACGATGTCGCAGTGAAAGTTGGGGCAGAATAAAACTTCCAGGAAGGTCCCCATTCAATTACCTGGTTCTGTTTGCATTATTCTTAGTGGTCTCGCCCTTGTAATCCCACGGATTACCTCTTTTCCAGGTGGGACGGAATGGAGTTTTAAATCCCCTCACATTATTGGCGATCTGGTTCTCTTTGAAATAGAGGAAGGCTAATTTGACGAAGTCTCCTTGATCCATTGGCATTGAGTGAAGTGGCATACGTTCTTCCCATTGTTATTGTATTCCTTTCTGTATATAGAACGTGCATACGAGTTTTACTGCAAAATTCTGAGGCAACGGGAGCGTATGCGTACGCACAGTTTCCGAAGCGACTTTGTCATTCACAACGCTGTCAAGAAGCTATCGAGGGAGGTACATCGAAAAAGGTGAGTGAAGGGAAAATTGCCCATGCGATACTCATCCAATCATGATTGTTCCCAGTTTGGGTCGATGGATTTCTAGATTCTGGCAGCGATCGAGGTTACGGATGTAGGAGATCGTCCAGCTTTGCCGGATTTAATAACAGAGCATATGTCCAATTTGTCACATCGAGGCTCTGGTGTGGGATTTCCTCCGCCGAAGAAGCTCTGCGAGTGGGATATTGTCTTCATCATAAAATTCGACCTCTTCATCAACCCCGAAGTCTCGAAGCCTATCACCTTCTGAATCCCTCCAACCTTCTTCACCGCTATCGGAGTTTTCCCCACTTTCAGATTCACTTAAGTCAGGGAAGTCTGTCATTCCCACATTTTGCATATATCGTTTGTGGAAAGGCCTTCGACGTTGTACTTCTGACGCAGCCTGTTGGCGGCGGAAATCTTCTCTTTGGCGAAGTTTAAAAGCTTCAACCTCTTGACTTTGTGATATATAGTTTTGTTCATGAGTAAAACCGCTTCCATAGTTGTTCCGCGGCATCGGCTTATACATTCGGTCTGGATCAGGGGGTGGCCATGACAAGGTGCTTTCTAAACACCATTGTTAAAAATTGACGATAGATCTATAAGATCGGATATCTAGTAGCCCTTCGGATTAGTTGTGGATCCCACATACCTTCAAAACCGTTAACTTCGAACTCTAGTCCTGAGCCTTGACATGGAGTTGAAGCAAAAGGCCAAAACCAACCAATGATCTGTTTATGTCTGTGAGCTAGAGGCAGAATATGGGAGTGCGAAATAGTCTGATGCAATCACGAGAATGGACTAACATTTGCGCTTCCCCCCATACCAGATTTTAAATTGCGCCAGATCCCAATGTCGTAAGGGAATTCCTGTTTCTGGATACGTACACGAACACCGCCAGGACCCTCGAGATGCCCCCCAAACATGCGGGCTCTTCTAAGAAGGGTTTTATGTCTTTCGATTTCCCATACCTCGATGGTGGTTGTGTTTCCGCCCAGACACCAAAGCGTTCGTGCCAGCAGGATTATGAGAGCGAACAGAACCATAGAATTAAGCACAACAAGCAACAATAAATGAACTAACTGTGGAAGGCTTGGGCCCAGATACTTTGACACGATTCATTGCATTTGGTATCAGCAAGCGACATATCATCCGGTTGGATATAGAGAGCAATGGGGACGCTGACAACTCACACTCGGTAGATGTCTGTTGTTCCAAATAACGACAACGCGGGGATAGAGGAGGTATTCAAGGTAGGTCATAGAACCAACAGCATAAAAAAGAAAGCGAATAAAGTGGGGCAAGGTAAAATGAGAAACGCAATTTTCTGTCCACGGGCAATGGTGGTCCATTTTTGGGATGCATCTTTCGTGTAAGCGTTAGTCGTGATACTAATAACTAGGAGAAGGCATAAAAAGTGTACGGTTGGTAAAGAGCAAATCACTCACCGCTGGCAAGTCTTGCAATGATGAGCCCGAGGAGGCTTGAAACTATCACAGCGCTGGCACCATCGTTGTCGATAGGATGAATATTGGGTGTTGTTTCGCGCTGCTCCTCTTGTATCAAGGGCATTCTTTGCAACAGGTGGCTGCCAACCAGCCGGCACCTGGCCGGGATCTGTTGTACATGCCCGATAATAACAGATCCAGAGACATGCTACCAATGCATTGAATTTAATCAGTTGGTCCTTGCTTGGAGGGGACGGCTCTAGGTATAGAAATATATATTGGGATGAATAGGCGAGGAATGCGACGAGGAATGAGACGGCTGGGATGGCGAGACACGAAATGTTGAAGGAAACCATCATCTCATGTGTATGTTCATGTTAATTGCCGTCTTGGATGCTCTCTTATTATCTGTTAGGCCACTGGGACAAAAGAGCTCGATCACCACCAGCGCCATGTTCGCAGTAGAGCAATCTTCGTATGGAAAGCTTTTGAGTTCAACCAAGATTATGTCATTTAGCTGCCCCTGAACCTGTTGGGCACTAGTTGCCCAGGTGGCCCTTCACCGCACGTGATTACCCCTATATAGTTAGCTAGCAATCACACAATGAGAAGATTAACCATCCCACAGGTTATGGCCTGGATAGCAGATTTTTAAGAAAAACAATGTGTTTTGATTAGAATATACTGCAATCAATGTTATATTGAATGAGTTAGATATTATTCCTCTGAAAAGAGAGCTCTTTGTTTATAAAAGTGATGTAATTGATAGAATTACTGTTGAGACTGCTGCAGAGATTTCATTACTATCTTGAAGAAATTAAAAATTTATTTATTTATTTTCATTCAGAATCTTTCTAAATCAAATTGATTATGAGTAATTCTCAATTATCTGTGATTTTTATATTAGAATATAAGAAGATATTATATTTGTAATCAAGAATTTCTCAATTCTTTCTCTCTGTTACTGAGTAAGAATCTGCCTCAGAAGCAGAGAATGATCAAACTGAATATATAATAATAGAGAAAGATATAACAATCTCTGACTCAGCACAAGATACTGACAAGATGTTAGAATATAAAAAATCTGAGAATAATATACTCAGTTCTATATCAATATCTATATTAAATTCTAACAGTATGATGATTATGACAGCAGCAGATCTCATTGCACTCTATAAATAACTGATATCAGTACATACACTGTCATTTTCTTTATTATTTTCTTTTTTATCTTCATTTCTTCTGAACTCTATATCAGAAGAAAATCTGAATATACTGACTCATAAATATCAGAAGAAAGCACAGATCTTATTAAATACAAAGTTCATCATTATATTTAATAATATTAACTATCAGATATAAAAGATGATATTTTTCTCAGATACAGAGATAATCAGTAATACAGATATTCTCAATAAAAATCAATAGAAATCATCTAAAGATTTATTAATATTTGAGTAATAATATTAAATAATACATTCAAAGCTACTCTTCTGTTGTATATTACAATCTCTGATAGATTCTGTTTATTTAATCATAAAATTCATTCAATCTGATAATATAGCAGCTCTATAATATAAGATAAACACAGTATATACAATATCTCTAGAGAAGAAAAGAATTAATATTCTCAAAGAATTTATTTACTTGTATGTCAAGAATGATGATTATCTGATGTATATATATCAATATTACTATCTATCTACTTGCATGTAATAATTAACAGAGAATCACAGTAAAAACTATCTCTATAATTTTTTTATTATCAGTTTCTGAGATTATCAGAGAATCTATATTAAATTATATTTTGATATATTCTATAGAATAGATCAGAGTCTGATTATTAATCTAAATATCAATAATTTTATAAAATAAATTACTCATTAGATAAGTAAGTGAGAGGATTCTGAATACTTCAAAGCTTCAAAAATCAATACAGTTATCAATAATAATAATGA